AGCTTAATAACTTTTAATTATTATTTCTACTCTTTGTGATGAGCAAAACCTATCTCTACCTCTAGCACAGCATCATTGAACCCTTTCATGACCCTAGTAGGTATTAGCAGATACTTTGCTATATGTTGAAGTATTTTAAACATTTGACAAAAGTATTTTAATGAAAGAAAAGCTTGTATATCAAACATTGTAATTGTGAATTATTTCCGGCATAATCTGATCTTGTGACAGCCCTTTATTTGGGCTTTTATTACAATTTATATACAATCACTGTAACTGTAATACATCAGATACTGATAGAAATAGACAGTTCCTACAAACTGAACGTCTTGAAAGCATGATCACCATAAAGATAAGCATCAGTGTTGTTCATATGAAAACACGTTCTGTTTGCTGTTCTGTTGTCATATTTCAAAACATGTTTTTGACAAGCAGAAGGTATTTAGTGGGTCCAGATTGAGGTCCTTTCTAAAGCAAGAGTTAAGTATGGCCCTGTCTCTGAGGTCGGAGCTGTCTCTCTGCTGTCCTGCAAGGTAATTGTGGTGCTCCACTGACAGGCCATGAAATGAAATGGGAGGAGAGTGGGAGAGAGGAGATGGAGGGGAAGAAAAAGGCTTATTCTTAGGTCATTTTCCTTCGTAAAAGAAAGCCTGCAGGGTCTTCATCCTTAAAAGGCTGAGGATTGAAATACTGAAGGCAGTTATACAGGCACATCCAGAGCTTAAAGCGTACATATGTGCGTCAAGTGCAAGCTCCCATTGCCTCACATATTTTGTCAAGCCACACTGCCTTGGAAAATATTACACTGATGAGCCAACATTAAAACCAGTTACCTTTTTTTTTTTTTACAAAGACACACACACACGCACACACTCCTGCACACACACACACACACACACACTCCTGCACACACACACACACACACACACGCTCCTGCCTCAAGGCTGTACAGCAGTGCGCGGAGAGGGGACAAGGCTGCTAGATGCTTCCATTTAAAAAAAGAGGCCCCGCTGATAATAGAAGTCTTCAGTCTTTGTCAGTCTCCCTCTCTCTCTTTCCCTCCGCTGCTGGGGTTTAATGGCTTCCTTCTAACCAGCTTCCCCACTCTATAGCCTCACACTGAGCGTATAAGCATGCGTAGGGAAACCTGGATGCAAATAAGCTTCTGAATATCAGTATGCGGATAATATTTATGCCAAAAAGCTACAGAGATAATAAGATCATAAAGGAAGCGTTGCCATGAAAAACAGCTGAAATGTCTAAAACACTGTTAAACTTCAAATATATTCTATAATGAGTTTTTGTTTCATGATATTCCAGTGATTACTTTTAGAGATATACTGTCACAAATTCCAGATAACAGCCGTTCGTACATAATGACTCAGACGTTATTTAGCATTCGTCTTTACTTTTTGCAGCGTGACCTCAAAAAGCTATAATGCAAATAAAAGGCTCAATAGAAGGAGGTTTAAATGTTGTACTCCCCAAAGACCTGACTTTGACCTGACTCTCTGAAGTTTAGTGCAATTAAAGGCTTGCATGGAAATCTGATCTCCCAGATGAGTCATTAATACATATTTCCCTCCTAGTTTGCTTTAAGGTGTCCAAACGCGTGCCTGCAGCCACACACGAAACATAAATATGGACATATCTGCACACCCACTGCACTTACAAATGCAACTACAAACTTGAATGATGCCTTGTGATGCTATTCCCAGTTTATTTATCAATGTACAATTTGTGTTTCATGATTGGAACCAGTTATATTTGAGTTTGTCTGTGTGTTCAACCAAAATACTGTGTAAGTCTTTCACCTTTTGATTTGTTTTAGTCGGCCATAACAAACACTTGTCAATAGAGACCAAATATATACAAAAGCTTTATTTGAATTTTGGCAGAACAGAACCAATGTGTGCAGCCTTGAAAATATTTGAAAGCCCTGTATAAAATTGAAAACTGAAAACAAGCTTTGACATTGATTAGAACAGTGTTGGCCAGTTCCTGTCTGTAGTGGCACCAAACCTTTAGCCACCTGAGCTAATACACCAGTGATCTGCTGAACGACAGACAGAAACAATGCGTCATGAAACCATCAACCTGTAGCAAAAACCTGGATATAGTGTTCAAAGATAGAACTGATTCCTGTATATTTTCTGCCAGTATTAATTCTACTGTAGCACCAGATAAAGGGCAAACTGTATGTGCATGTAAAACAAGCTAAAGAGGACCCAGCCCCATGAATGAGGGCACAGCTGCATTGGCACGTGCGTTAAGACAAAAAGAAAGACAGAGTCCAAAGAGGGTCTATAGGGGTAATAACTAAACTAACATCTCGGTCTGCTTCTCTGAGCTTTTAGTCTCAAAAATGCCAGGTTGATTAAAATTGATCAAATATTATTAGAGTAAAAATTAAAGAAATGATCATCAGAATCTTTCCTGAGACTGATTAAAGTTGGGTTTGCACTAATTCAGGAGTGTTGGTTCACCAGATAAAAGTTGTGGTGGAACAAAAGCAGATTTTGAGATAAGGAATTTAATTAGAGGCAAATGATAGATGAAAAAGATAAGTCAGTAAAGGAGAAATAAAATCAGCAGCTTAAGGTTATCTGGATTTGCGATGATAGTAGTCCTGACAATCAAAATTATTCAAACTGAACGGCTTGCAAACAATGTTTACACAGAAAAACTGCATGAACTGTTGAGTTAAATCTAAAAGTGTAAATAAATACATTCATTCACGTATGGACGCTCATTGTAAATGAGGGCAGAGCATATGCATCGGCCTGAAACCAGTAAGTGTGCGTTCATAGGCACGTACAGATGTGTATACTTGCATGTCTTTGCATTTCTATTCTCATGAGCGTGTGTATTTTTATTCCTGCCTATATAAAATTTGTGCAGTCAAGTAGGTTGAAGATTGCATGCTGTAGCCAGAGCCCCTGCCCTCTCCACTGTACTTTACTTGAGCCGTAAACCTCGTCCATATTTCATAACCAGCCTGCTATAGTTTGACCCCAGGCTTGGTTACCAGTGAAGTAAAACACACAAGCACAACAAGGCGTTCCCACTGTGACACCTCTGAACCAAAGCGCCACACTGGGCAGTTACGATTATGTTGTGTCTGTTGTGTCTTCCTGTCAATCCAGCAGAGTCGTTCAAACGGCTGAGGTCTGTATGAATAGAAGATGATTATAGATGATTAGGGCCGCTCACAAATGACAGTGTGACTATTGTTCTTATTCACAGCAAAACTCATTACAGCTGACAATAGACCAACAATATCCATACTAGAAAATCAGAGGCTAGAACTGTCTGTCTGTGGTTTATATCTTTGTTTGCTAAAGCTGTTATAATCACTGCTAAATTTACAAGGTGTTGACCTTTGAAAGCTGTCACTAACAATGAAATGAATATGATTTGAACGGAAGTATTGCTCAAAAGGGAACTACCCATAGACTTACTGTGATTTTCAAATCCTTCTCTTCAGCCTAAAACAGATAAAGACATAAACATACCCACATCTAGACATGAGTGTGCATACTCACACACACACACACACACACACA